TATTGAACATTGTGTCGGCGCGACGTCCATTAAAACACCCACCTTGTTTACTGTGCAAAGATCAATTTAATCACAAAAGTTTATGATTCACGTGCTGTTGACGCAGTAGAGCTCAATTTCAAGACCATGCGCAATTCATGTTTTAGAAAAAAATCTCCAGGTTTTCCCGACATCGGTCTTCCATAAAATTTCACCAATTTTATCAACAGAATTAAAAATTTGGAGTTCGTTCATTTATCAATTCATTGTTCTTGAGACTCAAATGGCCGAAGCAGCAGTTTATGATATCATAATATTAACTTAGGATAGGGCAAACAAAATTCAGTAAGTTCAAAATTCAGTAAGTTGTGAGAACATTTTTTTTTAATTTACGGAGAGAAAAATCCAGCCTACTTGTAATAATGGTGTCAAAATCTCTTTCTGAACTGATACAAGTTTATGAGCATTGACCCCACTTGACCTTTCGTAGCCTCTCCAAGCACCTACATGTACTTGGCACAATGGCAGGGCAAGAGTTTTTTAATGAGTACAGACGATGAGAGACAGATGGCTGTGTGATGATGACACTCTCATAATTGATATCCAGATGATATCAAATTCAACACTCTAGGGAGCAGTATTATTTATAGTACACATTGCAAAATTATTGGGTGTTGGCCTGAATCAGTAGTAGCAAAATGAATAGGCCTAAATGTCTGTCTGAATCTGGTTGCATGTTGCCTACAACTTTCCTCTTATTTTTTTATATGTACCGGTACCGGTACATGAAGATGCTTTCTCTTGCAATTTGAGGCACGTATTAATTCCTGCATTCAGTTTTCCTGAGTTGCATTCTTCATTTAGACCTACATGTACATGGAGTGGCTTTGGCCTTGTTCAGGGCAATTATGCATATTAAGAAATATATTGAAGAGAATTTTGGGATACAGGGTGTATGTACTTTTTGGCTGCCAATACGGATGAAGTATATTTTTCTTTTAAAGTTTCTGTTAACTTTGTCTTGGTTAGATTGTGATCCATAATGCAGAAAATTATTTTTCTTTCTATATTTTGTAGTGGCTTATAGTGTATATGTGATTTCTTCATTGCTACATGTATGTTAGCTGTGCACTCTCTGAAACCTTTCAAGTTTTCAGGATTTTGATAACTTTCTCCAGGTTTCTATTTTGCAACAACAACCTCATTTCTTATCACCTCGTTCTCAGAACCCTTTCTCTCACAAATCAAAATCATAAAATCATTGCTTCCATATTTGGTACTTGCTCTGATCAGGCTTGCATGCCTGTCACTGTCATGACTGTGTGCAAGCATTAGGTTTTTCTCTGTAGTTTGCAGCACAGTAGGTACATGTACATGTATGAATGTACCGGTACATACATACGCACAAATTACACTGGAATAATTTTGTTTCCAATACATGTACAAATGTAACTGCATCTAACTGCCTACTAAAAAAAGGTCATGGTGCTTGAATCTGTAAAAATGTTGAATATGAATTCTTTACAGCACTGAACACTGTAATGAAGATGACTTGTCTTGAAGGTAACGAGATGAGACATCTACCTATTAGAAAAAGATTGCTGTTGCACATTTTTGGAATTTCCAAATGGGCCTAGCTCTTTCATCGCATTCCAGAATTGTTTTTTTCTTTGTTTGCAAAATTTAGCTCAATGAAAACAAACAAAAATTGGAATCATTTTTCATCGGGTTGGAAAGTCGGTCTTTCAACACTTGAAAGAATTGTTTATATACAAACGGTTTTGGGATGTACGCAATAAATTAATACATTTAGAACCATATTGCTATAGAAAAATAGAGGAAAATTTCTTTGGATTTGGCCCTTTTAATGCTATGCTTACAATTTTACGAACTGTACCAAGAGATTAAGCTGGAAGTTGTGAATGCTACACGTGTAGCATTAATTCCCATAAAAAAAAGGACTTAGGCCAAAAAAAAAAAGTCTCCGGTTTCTGGTATGCGCGCGCGTCGCCGTAGCCATGCGCGTCGGCAAAATGAAAAAGTTTTTTTTTTCAATACAAGATGATGTCTCAAAACCGCCAAACTCACTGGTTTGACTGGAATCCTGCTGCTGCACAATTTTAACGTGTTTTTAGATGGGGCTATGATCGAGAATAAGCTTTATGTGGCCTCTCTGGACTCCCATATATTTGCACTAAGTTTAGTCGGGCACCATTTGCAGTCATCAGCCGACATTTGAAGCCAAAAAAAAAAAAAAACCAGGTAAAAAAAAAAAAAAAAGCCGCGTCGCCGCACCACTTTTGGGGCAAGCTCCATACCAGAAACCGGAGACTTTTTTTTTTGGCCTTATATAAGGTTATTTCAACAGCACTGTCGACCTTTCAGTCGCATAACATTATTGATTTTCAGGATGCAAAACTGGAGGCTAAATATCAAAAGAGGGAGATTAGCATTTTTTTCTGATTGCACAACCAAATACATGTGCATTTCAAAATACCGTCTGAAAAACCCCAACAAAGTACTGTACATGTACATGTGTAAGTGGTGGTAGTTCTGAATTATATACCCTAGATATTGTTGTTCAGTTGATTATCGAATGTTTAAATATTTTGTATATTCGGGACAGCCCTAATGTAGGCCCACCAAATCATGTTTGTACAGAAACATGCAACCCTCCCTTTAATTACGTTCCATTCAATCTACCCACCCATCTCATATCCCCCTTCCACTCCACGTCTTCCATTAGTAGCCTAACCACGTTAGACTCTCTTTAAGAACCACGCTAAATTAATCCGTCCTTCTGATCAAACAACTTGAGTGTGTACAGTCAATAGTTGTATGACACCCAAAGGACCAGAGAGGCTCTCCCAATGTGTGATGAAGAAATTGGTTAAATTGAGCACCGGCTAATTAAATGTCGTGGGAAATTAAATCAAAGTTAGAGGGGTCGGCCAGTAAATGTTGCGACGGCAGCTGGGCCCGATGTTGATTTGTAACGAGGGATGCTTCAACCCAGTTTTCACACCAGAATCTAAGCCCTTTTGATCCCTTTGGAAAAACTTTGTAGGAGGGGGGGGGGGGGGGGGACTGCCATGGTGAATTCTGTTAATTGTGAGGCAGTCTGTGAGATTTCGTCGTTTGTACATTTGTATTAAATAGAAAAATAAAGTTATTGCTATCACATGCCCTGAAAAAAATATGCAGGCCGTTTTGCGAGATTTTAAAATGTTGGTGTTTTTTTTTTTTTTTGTGCATCAAATGTGATTCAAATTAGATTGACTGTGTCCTACATGTAATAAATTTAAAATGATGAAATGGATAAAAATGCTCAGGGTATTTTTCAGTGTAGTCGCCAACCTTGTACACTTATTCAATACCCAGGTGTTGATATTTATTTTTAATCTTTATGTTTTGAATTTTGCTAGTGTCTTTTGACTTGATTGTACATTAGTGTTCCAGCTGTGCCTCATAGCAAAGTACAGACAAGGTCATGACTATAAAATGTATATTTATGTACATGTACATGTACTATATTTGTCCAATCAATATGTTATTTCAGGCTCATTGTACTTTGTGTGAATAGATTCCCACAACAGGATGAGAATTCACTAGTCATTGGTCATCATTATTTTCAGTTGTCAGTGTTAGTCACCATAGCATACTCAACCTAAAAAGTACAAACAGTGCAAGTAACTCATTGCCCAAGAAATTGGCTGTAATTTTATTTTTTGAGGACCACCACATCTATAACCTACATACAGCACTGGCCCATTTTACTCATAATTCTGGGGTATAATCCCGTGAAACGGCAACCAAGACTTTAAGCCTCCCCCCCCCCCCCCATTCTAACAGGATTATAGATTGCGTACGAGCAGACAAATCTGTTTCAGTTTGAGATCTGAAACATATCCGTCAAACTGTTTCCGTTTCGGTTTGGAGCGTTGAAAAAAAAATGGGAAAAGTTGACAATCGAATTGGAATGTCTTGATCCAGTAATTCGTCTCTGAGATGTCCTCGGCGTCCAAATTGGATTCGTTCGTCGATTGAAGATATGAGCACGATGACACGAGAAAGTGATAAATGGTCGAGACGTGCAAGTTAGTCATAGTTCAATGTGCGGCGCGGTGCTCCAGATGGTTCGATGTATGCAAACACATGATCCTCTTTATGAGTAATGAGATCCAAATATGCAAACGTTTTGGTTACATGACCCTGTTTTTGTCAATTCAATTAATTATTTTTTTTGGTGGTGACAGGTGAAAGCCTTGTACCCAATCCGTCAATATTGATTTGAATTCCGAATGGCAATTTATAATTTTGGTCATCTCTTGTGTGCATCTCTCTGCATCTGTGACAAACAATATTGAAAAAAAAGTAAAACAAAATCTGAATTTAGTTGAAAAAATGAAAATTATAGGAAAAAAGAAAGAAATTTGAGTCATATAGTCACCCTAATTTGCATGTTAATTTTATGTTGGTTATTAGCTATTACATGTACTTAAATGTAAAAGTAGTGAAGCTATCCTCTCTCATGTAAGCCCAATAATACCAGTCACTCTGAAAATCAGGGAAAGCCTTGATACTTAATTTCCGTTTTTCAGTCAGGGAAAACTCTTGGAATTTTATGGAAAAACAGTGTCAGTGACTTGCAAGGGAAAGGTTTTCACCAGTTTGGCGTATGTGCCTCTTGTGCCATGTTTGCCCAAGTTGTGTCCATTGACTGACTGGCTATGGTGTGTTAGTGTTTAAATACAATGTGAATACATATAATGTCAGTATCTTAGTTACTTTGCTGCAACCACCTCTTGAATTCCCGGCAACCCTGTTAAAGTGAAAATGTTTCTCTATTAATATGGAATTTTGGAAATATCTCAAGGATATATCGGGAAAACTCAGGTAATTTTCTTTTCATAAAGTGCTGGGAATCCTGTAATTTATTGACTGCCCATGTCCCATGCCACCAATCCAAAACCGCTGAAACTCAGCTGGTCTCATTTTGACGATATTTCATCCCCACCCAGGCTGAACGCACCAAGCTCCTGCGTCCCGCTAGCAGCCAGCAGCGCTACACCGTAGCAAACCCGTACACAGCTCTGGGCCGAGACCTGGACGGCAACGGTAACAGCAACAACAGTAGCAGCTTCGGCGGCAGTGAGGAAGACAGCAAGGAGGACAAGCAGGGCAACGCCCTGGCCTACCTGGAGGCCATGGTGGCCAAGCATAAGAAAGCTGAGACTGAGATGAGACAGCAGGTGGAAGGGTTGAAGGAGAGCCATGCTAAGGTGAGACAACAACAGCGACAACAAGGACACCCCCAACCCCCAACCCCTCCCTCCACCCTTACTTTCTGAAAATCATGAATTTGACACTACTACCGGTACTCCTTGTGGATCCCCCCCCCCCAAAAGTTAGAAACTGACAAAGACATACAGTGCGCCACTTTCATAAACATTTCCCAAGAGGAGAACTGTTGAAAAGAGAACTGTTGCCATTCAGTGCAAGCAGCCATGTCAGTTGCTCAGACTGCACTGGTATGCTTCAGAACCGCCCGGCCTGTTACTCATGCCATCTCATCCGAGGTGATGAAAGGATCCTACCATAACACTCAAGGAGGTTGACACAAGAACCTGCCGCCCGCGTTTTCTTTTTTTTGGAGTGGGGCAAACAAGACGTGGAGTGCAGTTTAATTGATTTTACATGCCCAATACATTTTTCATTTGCTAGATATGCACACGCTGAAGCCTTTGATAAGTAAAGCAGGAAGCAATTTTCTGGCATTATTGAAACCTGAATTCCATTTCTGTTTGTGAAAAAGACATCTGTTTCGCGGTTTGATTCATTAACGCATTATCTCTAATCCCTCCCTCTCTGGCTGGCAAATTCAACAAAGCCATCCCCGCAGTCGCAATCAATTGAATGACTGTTTTTTAACAGTGGTCCCTGCCTATACGTACATGTAAATCAGGATTGACTAGATAAGCCAGCTGTACCGATCAGTTACTTCTGTCTTTTGATTGAATGTGAGTGTCACAAGTGCCGTCAAGAAATATGATCTGACTGTTTGGGACAAGCTTGTGTATAAGTTATGGGAGGGGAAGTGGATTGAATTTCTGACTGTCTGTGACTGATCAAACAGTAGGAAGGTGACTGTACAGTTTAACCCTAACCCCCTTGAGTGATTTACTAGGAACCTTCCTCACTCTTGCAAAATCTAACACCATATGGTAAACTCTACACCCAAACTGTTGGACTCTGATTATGGTGGTATGCCTGACCCCATGTAAAGCATCTAATCAGTTCACTAGTACAACACTCACTCCAACAGATTCCAACAAATCAAACAGTTGGATTTCGTTGGAATGAGGTGGTTAAGGTTAATATTCTTATCTGGATTCCGACACATAGTGAGTTGCATGCAGTACTCCTCATGAAAACTACCCAATTACGTCATTGGTTTTGAACATGAGTATCTTTTGCTTTTTATTCGTCAGATGGTAACAGAACTGGACGAGGAGAAGCAAAAACATGCCAATGATACAGCTCAGGGAGATGACGTCACCTACATGTTGGAAAAGGAAAGAGAGCGACTTGCACAACAGGTAATTACTGAACATACATTTCATGACCACAGGCCTTGATAATGGTGAAATGCAAAATTTGTTTTTCACAGGACTTTAATAGTCCAGATTGAGTACACTCAGATACCTATTTCTTGTTTTAATGTTGTTGATTTTTTTAAAGAAAACTCATTTTCCTGACCCGGTCATCATGTTTCAATTGGAAGTAGTAAAACATATCTAAAGCACAGAATAAAAAAATACAGCACAGAAATACAGGTTTTTTTGGTATTGTGTTTGAGTGACAAGATCTGTTTCCCTTTACACGAACATGATACGGCATACATTGTATCTTGTATAAAATATTCATGCATGGCATGTCATAGATCTGATAATTATCCACCAATTTGATTAATATTTCTCCTGGAGCAGTTTCAACATAAATTTTGAAACAAACCTCTATTGTGTAAATCATGTGAGCTGTAGTTCATGTTTTATTGTCTGTCTGGGACAGACAGGGAGAATCCATAGCTTTTGTGAGATAGCAAGATTTTGCCCATTCATCATCCCATTTCCTACTCCCCCATCGTAAATTAGCTTACATGGAGGTAATATCCCCATTGGGACCTTTTTGCTTCATGATGGATCTGTGTTCCCTCCTAGCCCTGCTGTTATGGGCAACAATATACCTTGATTGAGTGACTGTATAGCCAGAAAGCAAAATGTGTATGTGCACTGAATGTGTAAGTGATTCTTCATCTCCCAAATGAGGGTTGTTACTTGATGTCAGAATCCTTAGTAGATACACCTGTCTAGTATATATGCCTGCTAATAACTTAAAGCTACAGTCCATCATTTGCAGCTATCCAAAAAGTAACTGACGTAATTATTGTTGAAAAGCATACTTGGTTGAAAAATAGTAAGGGAACTAAACTCCCTTTCCAATGAAATTTCCGTTAGTAGTTGTTTTTTTTATTCGGCAAAGTGCGTGCAAGCGTTGACAAGACGCACACGAGCGCGCGGTTGCTATAATTCATTGGATCAGTGCGCGACATCGCGTAGCTGCAATCGGCTCAGTGAGAACTTGTCTCGGATGCTGAGTTCAGGCCCAATTCAAAAAATGATTCAGCAAGTTTTGATTTGAAATCAAGATCCTCGAATGTTGTTTTTCTCGAAACATAAAGCTGAAGCTGAGCTGAAACCTTATCATGTTAGTTGTTCAGCACCGTTCTCTAGATTTTTAGCACTTTTATTGCTTCAAACTAACAAAATGCACAAATTACAAATGATGAACTGTACCTTTAATTCTAAAATCGTGACAATATGAAACATCCCTTTGACAAGAAGATATTTTTTGAGGGTAGGACATATTCAACAGTGAAAGAAAGAAAGGTTTTGTTTTGATTGTTGGTCGTTATTTAATGATTAAGTTTCTTCCTCCAAGAACATTCTTCCTGTTTCCTTAATGAGATTTACTGGACTTTCAAAACAATTTGGTGCTTGTAACTTTGTGTAAATCTTTGACATGTTCTTTTCTCTTCCTCTTTTAAAAAGCTTGACTTTGAAAAAGCTCAACAGAAGAAGTTGGAGAAAGAGACCAAGAGGTCTCAAGCAGCTGTGGTCCAGGAACGCAAGAAGCACCTCCAGTTTGCCAAGGTCATTCTCGATGAGCGCAAGGTTCTCCTGATGGAGCTCGGCGCGATGAAACAGAGGATGGAAGAGCTGGAGGACTTGATGATTGTCAAGGAAGCCCAGCTGGCCAGCGCCAAGGGCTGCCTTCACAAGGAGAGGAAGCACCTCACCAAAATGGAAGCCGGGATGGAGAAGCGGCTTTCCGAGTTTGACATGGAGCGTGAGCAGCTCCGGGCAAAGCTCAAACGAGAGGAAAACAGGACGCGAGAGCTCAGAGAAGAGCTGGACACAGCCAGCAACTGCATCAATGACTTACAGCTGGCCCTGGCAGAAGCAGGGCACACTGATGCTTCCAACGGGAACCAAGAGAATCCCACCTCTGCCACCAACGGTAGAGACATCAGGGGAAAGCCTCTAGGGAGGGTAACAGGGTCTCCGATTCCAGCTGCCAATGCAAGCAGGATTGGTACACCAAGAGGAATGAGGACCCCACCACGATATGACAAATCTGAGAGCTCCTCTTCTGGGTCTGAGGAGTTGTGTAGTCCCCTGAGTCCCGTGACCTCCATCGTTAAGCCTGTGGCAGGAAAACCCAAGAAAAGTGGCTACCAACCTCAATATGGAACAACTGGGAAACAAGCCGATACAAGGAGTGTCGAAAGTGATAATGGAAAAACTGAGGTTAAGACATCTGCCAAGCAGAAGGGTTCCTTATTGTATTCAAAAGGGAATGGAAAGACCTTGAGTCCAGCCACAAGTCTTGATCGATTGAACAGAGCCAATACATCATCTCCCCCACCTCAGAGAGGGAGTAAGATCCCATCCAGTACAGGGAGTGCTGCAAGGGCTTCCTTGATGTCACCGCAGCAAAACAGGAAAGGATCTGGGGAAATTGAGAGGCCGAGCCCAAGGCAGCCAATCACACCTTCTCCCAAACCTACAGCAACTAATTTAGTGAGGCCTACGGCTCTCAGTAGCTCCCCGTTCATGAAGGCAGTTGATGCCTTCAAGGCTGGTCCAAAGAAAGCTATACCAGGGCTTCCAGGAGTGCAGCAGCAACCATCTGCCGTCCCCTTTCACTCCACTGCCAAAACAGGTTCTCCCAGTGTACCGAAAGCTGCCGTATCTCCCCTGGTGAATACAGCTAGGAAGCCACAGACCTCTAAGCCACCAACACCAACCCAGCCAACAGCACCTGTCTCCAGAACAAACCCACCAAGTCCTTCAGGCAGCATCACTCCAACTGGAGCAGTTCCCAGTACACAGCCTGCTCCAAAGTCGGGTGCCCAGCCACCCGTGTTCACGCCCCCGGTCAAGCGCACCGTCTCACCACGAGGTACCCCACCACCAGTACCACCCAACAAGCCTACTCTCATCCCTCAAAAGACTAACGCTTCTTCTTCATCATGCACTTCTACTACCACAATCACTTCTCCCGCTACCACGCCACTCAGCAAATCTGATGCCAACAAGAACGTGTCAAGCCCCTTGCAGTCCCCTCCGGTCTCAGTGCGGAGGTCCGACTCCCTAGTGGAGGCCCGTAGACAGTTCTACACCAATAAGCTGAGTGGTGGTCAAACTAACCTGCGGGGCGGCCTGGATAACCAACTGCTAATCAGTGCTAACAACAATTCCAACAACTCAAACGCTATTGACACTCTTGCCATTGACACTAACGACGATTTTCTTTACGACGCCGGCGAGCAGCTTGGCCCGCCCTTGCCAAACCACGCCCAAGCCGCGCCCACTGCACAGAAATCCACAACCCAGGTGGGTGCGGACATGCAGTCAGTTTTAAAGTACAGCGAAGCCCCGCCCATTCATAGCGATCATGGCTTTTACCATAACACCCTAGGGCCACGTCCTGAAGGTAAATTGTCCCTTTAAAGCACGACCCAAGCCTTGGTTTACTTGTCTTGACCGTTTCCTGATGTTAACCCACATAAACCATGATATAAGCAAATGTCTAGTCAGTGAGAGAGACTTTGAGTACCCATAGAAATCCTTGACCGTGTCTAAGAATCTGGATATAATCATGCTGCCCCTCTCCCCATGCCTTTTTCCTACCCAAAATCCCAAACAATTACAAGACAAATCCCAGTCCAACCCAATTAGTGTTAACCTTTTCAAGGCTGAAGTGCAAGAATGCATCATGCACAGATGTGATTAAAATATTGATCACGCAAAGAAATACAACTATGTATCGTTTGCTCCAAATAGCCAAAATGTAAATCGTTATAATTGGTTGAACGGCCTCATGGAGGTAATATTTATGAGAAGTGTTTGCCCATTGTTGTTGATTGGACTTACAACTCACAACCTCCTGCTCATTGTTACAGATATCTTAACTACTGGTGCTTGAACTCCAACACACAATTCATCCAAAGAAAGTCTTTAAAAATGCTGAAGGGTTTTGTGTATGGGCATCGTGCGCCAACAAAAAAGGGCGCGTGTTTACCACTTTTGAAAGCCCCGTGTGGGCGTACGGGACTGGTTCGCGCGTGAAGTATGCACAACTTATTTATCCTGAATGTGCACAAAGCTAAGCCGTAGCGTCTTGGCGTGAGCGTCAGGCGTCATCGGCAGGCGAATATGTTCGAATTTAACTTGCGATGGTTTCCCAGACTAATCCCCGCCCCTAATAACTTTGGATCTGCAGTATGCAGAGATAAACGTTTGAATTACAAACTTCAGATTACCTCTTCAACTAAAAACGAGGTTGAACTTGGGTTTGGTGACCTTTGATGAGTTATTCAGTGCAGTCTCTAAGAGTCATTGATTGAAAAGTTCCCAATTGCCCCAAGGAACTGTCTCAGGACCAGCTGTTTCTTATTGATGCTGGGGGAAGTCTCTCTCACTGACTACATCACCAGGACAGATTTAATTTATGACTGAAATTAATTCCTCCCCCCCCCCCTCCCCCTCCCCTCACAACCAACCATTAATCTTACTGGAGTAGAGGAAATACTAACTCACTAATATTGCTCATGAATAACCCTGGGCTTCAGTTCATAGAGCTGCTTAATAGAAAAAAAACATGTGAGGCGTTCTGGAAAAAATAAGGCAGAACTGGGCACAGGCCGTAGTGGAGAAAAATGCAACAACAAAAAACAAACAATTGGGGTGATTTATTTTTATCAATTTTCAGATAAATCTTTGATATATGTACTACACACGTTTTAAGAAGGAGTACAAAAATTGTGGAAGAAAATTGTTTTTTAAGGAAAAACAGTTGCCATATTTCATTTTCACGAATACAAAGCTCGAAACTTTACAGGACCTTTTGTGCAGTATTATACAGACTCGTCATGTTGATAAATGCAAACGATAAACCGCCCGAACTTGTCAACAGAATGTCTGGTTGAAATGCAACAAACAGTATTGTAAGGATTATTTTATTCTCTTTCCTAATACCGCAAATCCTCATGTCAACCTCTGCCCAGTTCTGTCTCAGTTTGCCAGAACGCCTCACATATTGCTAATAGCAACTATTAGTTGGGAACCAGTTGTGAGTAATGTACATCACATGGCGCTTTGGCTGGTAACCTGTTGTTGCTTAGCAACACTTTACTTGGTAGTTTCCTGTGTTTAGCAGCACCATGAAACTGACCCCACCTGGCTAGCAATAAGTAGGGAGTTAACCATATTGTTACCCGTTTCATTCAAGTTCACTTCATGTACATGTACATCCAGTACCCACTGTGATGGTTAGCCCAGGTTGGACTCTGTTGTGTACACGTACACAACGGAGTCCAGGGTATGAATCTCTCCTGCCATAGCGAAAAAAAATTATAACACATTTTTTTGCATTTGTTTACCTAACGGAGGAAGCTGAAGTTTCGCTTACATGTTCCTTGTCAAGAATTGTGCATGCGCTAGGTTTAGGAAAGGCACATATGTCCGCTGGTGGCGTGTTTACCGCAAATAAACTGCAATCCCACGCTTTCGTTGAAAACATTTTGAGAACGAACTCCCCGTGTGAAGATTACGCACGCGTGTGTGCATGCACACCTAGCACGCTGCCGCCCTGGCAGCAAGCGGCAGTAAACGGCACGCGCGTGTACATCTTCAAGCGGGAAATTCGTACTGAAAATGTTTTCAACAAAAGTGTAGAACTTGCAGTATATTTTTGGTAAACACGCCGCCCGCGGACATATTTGCCTTTTCTAAACCCAGCGCAGGTACAATTCTGGACACAAGGAATATGTAAGCGAAATTTCAGCTTCCTTCCTTCAGGTAAAAATATGAAAAAAAATGTGATATAATTTTTTTCGCTATGGTGGTACAATTTATACCCTGGACGTCAGTCGTAATGCAATGAAGACGTCGTCCAACCTGGGCTATGTGATGGTCACACATCATCACTGGTCCATAGATATGCTTTCTATATCATTGAGTAGGCAAAGTAGGCGCACACCATTTGCTGTTATTCGTTATTAAAATGTACCAAGAGCGTAGAGTCCCATGATGACTGAGAACACAGCGAGAGAAACAGGCATGAGATTTTTCCGACTTTTGTCTGAAATCAGCTTTTTTGAATCCGAGAAAAAGACATTATTAGTGTAGAAAGATATGCATCTTTCAGACATTTCATCAATTTTCAGACTTTATGAAATATTGACAATCCCATCCCTGGAGAAACGCTGTATCGCTGAAGAATGAGCTTGTGTTAAACAAGACATGAGGTGTATTTCACACCGTGTTTTCATCTTCAGCTTTTGCTTCAAGATGCTTTAAAGGCTAGAGTAGATCATTTGCAGCTATCCAAAAAGTAACTGACCAAATTATGATTAACATGCTTACTTGGCTTAAAGATAGTAATGGTGCTAAACTCCCTGTGAAATTACTCCTTCCGGCATGCTGTCGGTTTCAAGAAAACAATAAAAGAAGGTTATTTCCAAAGATGAGTCAAGTGATGCATTTTTGGAAATTTCCGTTAGTAGTTGTTTTTTAATTGGGCAAATCCAAAAATGGGTGCGCGCAAGCATTGACAAGACGCACACACGTGCATGCGGTTGCTATCATTGGTCTGTTCAGTGTGTGACATCGCGTAGCTGCAATCTGCTGAATGAGAACTTGGTCCGGATGCTGATTTCGGACGCAATTCAAAACATGACTTGAAAACTTTTGAATTGAAATCAAGATCCTAGAATGTTGTTATCTCGGAATATACAGCATTCACAGAGCTAAAACTTCATCAGGTTAGTTGTTAAGCACCCATCTTTAGATTTTGAGCATTTTTGTTGCTTCAAACGAAACAAATGCACAAATGGCGACTGATCTTCTCTACCTTTTAGCCACCAACTTGGGGACTCTGACTGTGCTGGTCCTTGGTCCTTGGTCTGTCTCAGGAACAGTCAATAATACATGTACATGTACATGTACATTCATGTATGGGGCGAGATACTGGTACATTTTATGTACATATTGCAGGATTCTTCTATTTTGAGCCAGAGACGAATCCATAGCGGGAGATCACACAGGCGTTTGACCATGGACAATTCAAGGTCCAGCATTTCATAGACTTGTGATTTCAGTCAAGTGAGGGCGCTGTTGATTGCATACAGTGCCAGATACCCAACAAATTTCATGAGGTCCCTATCTTATTTTCGGGAAAGGAAAGGGAATCTATCAAGTTTGTGTCAATTTTATGTGTTGGCTCAGTTTTATTCTTTCTGCAGTTACCGACTTCAGTCAGTATTGTTTATCTTTTAAACTTTTATTGTTTGTTTTTCTTAATTATTAATTTGGGGTAGTTCACGAAAGTCATATTGGTTAATACGAAAGTAAAAAAGATTTTAATTTCAGTGCTTCACAGGGTTATTTCTATTTTTTATTTATTGTAATTTTGATATTTTTTTGTACTTGTGTGTGTCACATTCCCAGCATGGCAAATCACAATGTTATTTCTTTGGTTTTTCACTTTTTTTTCCATCTACCCCTGCACTCCACAGTGCTCTCTGCTTAGAAAATATAAATGTAAGTAAACAGAACCAGTCTTTTTTTATTATTAATTTTATCAATTTCATTCAATTTATTTCTGTACACATATTCATTCATTTATTTTTTCTGCATCTCCTGACCAATGCATGCCAAATTTGTGATTCAGTTTCTAGCTGTATATAATTGTATTTTTTGTTGGTAGCAGAATTGTTTTTTAATTTTTGTTTATTTATGTTCCACAATTTTGTTTACTTTTACATCTTGACATTTGTCTGTTTTCCTGAAAAACTGTCAGGGTTCCTAGCCACTCTGGAAATCAGGGAAAACCTGAAAAATTAGTTTCCGTTTTTTTCCAATTAGGGAAAACAAAATAAATGAGGGAAATTTGACAGTGACCCAGAAGGGAAAGGTTTTCGCCCGTTTGGCATACGTGCGTCTTGTGCCGTGGGTCCAAGTTGTGTCCATTGACTGACCGGCTATCATGGCTTTTTAGTAAATGCAGTGTGAATATTACTCTGCTTTGCAGTAACAACCTCTTCACTTCCCAGCAACCTTGTTATAAGTGAAAATGTTTCTCATGGAACTTTGGAAATTTCTCAGGGAAATTTCAGGGAAAACTCCGCGCATCTTACAGTGTATATTAAGGTTAGCGTAACGGTACGTCCCTTCTGCTACAAAGGTTCTGAGAGCAACAGATTTAGAATGAACGTTCAAAGACAGCAATTGGTTATTTCTCAAAATCTTTACAGCTTGTAATGTTTCGCATGGCTTCATTATAGCCCCACAAATTCATATGTCTGTTTTCCTGAACAACTGTGTCTTATGTCGTGGTTACCGTTGTGGTGATCCTCAATGACATGCATCCATTCCTCATGATACAATGGTTCTGAGAGTAACACATTTAGAAGGAATGTTCAAAGACAGCAATTGGTTATTCTCAAAATCTTTACACAATGTGAAGCTTCACATGGTGTCACTATAGTCCTACAAAGTCTGTTTTCCTGAAAGATTGTCTCTCTAATATGTTGTGGTTAGCATTATGGTGATTCTCAATGGAATACACACTCATCCATCATGCAAAGGTTATGGGAAGAACTAACTGAGAATGTTCAAAGACTGCAATCGGTTAGTCTCCAAAATCCATGTTTCACATGGTGTCACTACAATCCTACAAAGTCATATGTAAGTCTGTTTTCCTGAAAGATTGTCTCTTATGTTGTGGTTAGCATTATGGTGATTCTCAATGGAATACACACTCATCCATCATGCAAAGGTTCTGGGAGGAACTAACTGAGAATGTTCAAAGACTGCAATCGGTTATTCTCCAAAATCCATGTTTCACATGGGGTCACTATAATCCTACAAAGTCATATGTAAGTCTGTTTTCCTGAAAGATTGTCTCTTATGTTGTGGTTAGCATTATGGTGGTTCTCAATGGAATACACACTCATCTCATCTATCATGCTGCAAAGGCTCTGGGAGAACACACTGAGAATGTTTCAAGACTGCAATAGGTTATTCTACAAAATCTGTACAGCATGTGATGTTTCACATGGCGTCACTATAATCCTACAAAGTCCTTAACACTATATAGTCGCATATTACCAGATCCTAAAAATAAATCATTGTTAGGATTTTTTTTCTGGATTGCCGTAAAGGTGTTTTTCTCTATAAAAGTTCCTATAGAACAAAAGAAATGGGTATTGTAAGGGGTGCCTTTTGGCAAATGCAAATGTATATCAAAGACACTATTTTGGTCTGGGGCCCTGGGCGATCCTCAACCCCCCTGCCAATACGGTCGTTTCACAATAGTGCGCCTCCAAGAGTTTGCAACGCGTTAGCCAATCACAATGCGCGAAATCTGTCGACCCTATGCACGTTTGGAAAAGGTCGACTGATTTCGCGCATTGTGATTGGCCAACGCGTTACAAACTCTTGGAGGCGCACTATTGTGAATCGCCCGTATTATTTCGTGGATTTTTCATTTTCCCCCAACATCACCCCTGATAAACCTCAAAAGAAGTTTTGCAGTTGAGGCCGCCTGCCCAAATACAAACTTGGTCATGACCAACAATAATACATGTGGCTGAACCCACTTTCTATAAATGTATCTTCTGCCTGTAGCGTAGTAGTTGGACATAGGTATCGGGTCACAGTTTGTTGGGATGTTCATCGGCAGTCAGTTTATTTGTCTATCTGTTGTTGTCTGTCTACTTTGTGCATGCATGTTGATGTCTGTTATGTTGATATTCACGTCAAAATTTTTTTCTAGAGTTTCTGTTGTAACATTAAACTTCATAGTTTTGTTTTGTTATTTTTTTTATTTGATTTGAAGTTAAAGCTGTTCCTTTGTTTGTTTGTTTTTGTTTACTGAATAGATAGAGAACAGCAATTAGATAGAGGATAACTGTACAATGATTAATTGCTCAAATACTGTATTTTAATACATGTAATTGGAAAAAAAAACCAGTTGTTAATTGTTCCGTCACACATCTTTGATGCATGCTTGTAGGATAGGTTGTACAATGTACATTGGAGGTAGCAAATTCTGAATATTTGGGCTATAATAAAAACACTGTAAAACCTTTTTTTCCCATAAATCTTTCCAGAACCTTTAATATGAGTCCCTTCAGTATGTCTTTATAAGATGGAAATGTTACAAGACTTGTGTAGATAAAAATAATGTTTGATCTAGTAGAAACTTGAGAAGTATGACAAAATGCTTTTCTTGGCGTCTGTAAGCCAGGCGTAAGTTGTTGACAAACTTTGTGATTTTTCATGTATATCATACCAATTGCAAATGCTTAGTAATGGCTTGAAACAATAGCTCCTTAAGGGCTTTGTGAATAACTGGACTGGTTGTGCTTACTATGTGCTAGACGCAGGAGAAAAGCTGTGATGATGATGTTTCCCGCTTTATGCAGGCAAAAATCCTCATCTTTTCCTGCTCCCTTCTTTCCTTCCTTGTGGCTTTGTCTAATGGAAGCACCCTGTATTTATCCTCCCTTGCTCTTATGCAGTAACAACACTGAATATCTCACATAAAAGTGTAATTTCATTTGGGTAGTTTGAGCTTAATATGTATTTTCTGTACCGCAGTCTGTGTTGAAAATTCGTTTTGAACTTTTCCTCGACTAATTTTAGTAATTTGCTGAACAACTTTTTTTTTTAAATCATGGCAGTTACCAATATCATCAGAAAATCTTGGAAACCAAAACTAGAATTGAAATTTGCATTTCAGACTTTGGAGTAAAGCCTAGAAAAAACAAAATGGAGAAGAGCCTAGAAAAAAAAATTTATATATCGTCACCGACACCACGAACTTGGTGGGCGTGAGTTCTCGGCACGGACGCGTACTCTACAGTACCGCGTAATATTGGTTTTCATGAACTGATACCCAAGTACTGCATGCAAGCACTCCGAAAATTTTCGTTTTCACAAACTGAATTCTGTCTTAATTTCACCAGTTAAAAGGTTTTTAATTAACTGTTTCTTTAACCCCAGAAGTATACCGATGGAGTAAATTCGTGTCAAACTTTTCAAAGCGTTTCTCTCCGAATTGTATTTCCACCACATGCTTGCAGTTCTGTTTATGAAAACCAAAATAATTCTATTACAAACAGTGTACGAAGTGCGCTTGCAAACCCATGTGTCAGTTCGTGAAACCGAAATAATTGATTACGCGGTTCTCACGAAATGCACGCATACAGTGCATGCGTTTCATGTCGTGAAAACGGTGACGGTATGCATATTGGATTTCTTCACAGACAGAACTGGTACCTTCTTCAGACTGGCAATCAAGAGTAATACGCGCTGAATTATTGTAGATGTTTCCAATAAAAAAGATTGACCGTTGCAATCATTCAAACAACTCAAGTCTCCAGTCAACTGAAAATAAGTACATCAATGTACCTGTCTGAAACCACATTCTGTAAAAGTTGACTCGAGTTGTTCTCAATACATTTTTGTTTGGTGCAAAAGACTCTGGAATGCCCGTCTGAAACGTGTGACTTTAAAAGCCTGATTCATTGTTCAAGTTTACACACCAAGTTTTCCAATCACTTTCTCTCCTCCTCTCTCTGCAGGTAGCGCCCCTGTTATAGCCCGGCTTCCCCCTTCCACTGCCTCCGCAAGTTCCCCACTTCACCTGGCCGCAGTGGAAGGGGACACCGCCACCATCTGTAGATTAATAGAAGAGAACCACAGCCCCGCGACCAGAGAAATTGATGGCTCTACCCCTGTACACGCTGCGGCCGAGCACGGCCAATTAGGTAAGAACTACTTTCATTGTACATGTAAGTCACTAAACACACAAACGCGTCAAGCACCTAAGAAACATTTGCTTCAGGAAATTTTAATTTTAAAGGAACCACACAACAAACAATTGCTATTACTTAGCACCAAAATATTTGTTAAGCAAATTTGGACTCCATGCTTAAACAGTAGACGGCGTTTTTTCAAGAGCTCAGTGGTTGGGACTCGCTGTGTGCGTGTACTGGTTCGCACATGTATGCGCGGAGTACTCATGACTAATTTTATTCTGAAGGTGCACAATGCCATAGTGTCTTTGCTTGAGCGCAAGGCGTCGTCGGTATTAATTGTGTTCTAATGTCCCACCTGGTAGTCTCCCCCAAACTCTCTCTTTGTAACCGTTGAGAGGGTACTTCTGCCCAAACAGCCCATAGTGTAGGTTACCAGCAAAGATTACATGCAATTTGAATTGCTTGTGACTGGTACTCACAGCGAAGAGGGATCTATGCTAACAGCTGATTTATGCTAACTATATGAATTTGCCAATCAGACTTTGGGGGGGGGGGGGGGTGGGTGATGTACATGAAATATTATGTTTATTGTGTAGTAACCACAGTGCTACGACGCGCGCCCCGTACTGCCGGGGAAGTGACACTTGAAGCAGCAACCCTGATCCACAGCTCGAAATTTATTTCCCCACAGGACCGCAACGGATTGGATTCTTGTTTTAGTCTGAATTGCTCATCATAAGCCCGCCAACCAATGCCTGGAAACTGAAGTGATGCAGTGCGAATAATCTCTGCGTATTTTTGGCTGTGGCATACGCTACAAAACAGAAGAACTTTTGCACAGGTTGAGATCTGCGAACAATGTCCCATATGTGCAGCGAGCATTTCGAAAAAAAATTTGCACATTTTCCATCTCCCTGGGTTTAAATTGTCGATGGATTTAGATATCCTGTCCTTACTTAGCCTCAGTTTTCACATTTTTCTGACAGATTGTTTAGAATTACTTTTAGACCTCGGAGGCGACGTCAACCTAACGAGAACGGACGGCGTCTCACCCCTACACAGCGCTGCCGGACAAGGGCATGCTGGGTAATAAAAGCTTTCTAGGTTTTATGTGCTCTTGAAAGAGTTATAACAAGTCAGTCAAAGTTTCATCAGACCATTTTTACTGGACAAGAATGTGAGCATATGTTTTTGCTAATTAGAATTTGCAAAGATGAGGCATTCTTCACAACTTAGTTAAATTCGTGCTCAGTACAAACCATAGCTCCATACTCAAAAACAGATGGCACTTCAAAAGCACATGTGAGAGCATTGTATGTAGGGATACACTGGGTGCCCACATATACTGAAATTTGTATCCTTGTGGAGACATTTCTTTGTTTTCGTGTACTAAACTCTGGAATTTGAAAGTACAGTTTCAAAATGCTCTTATTTTTAACCAGAATTAATTTCCTTGGTTGAAATTCGGACTTAATATCCCTTTTTTAAAACTCTACCATTTGCGACAGAACAACATGCCTAAAATCCATATATCTATTTTGTGAAAACTTTTTGGAGATGTATTCATCTATAGAAATTGCCCTGTGGAGACGTATACAATCTTTTGTTCCCTATCGTGTGCATGTCTCCAGAGGGTACGGTGTATCAGATCAGAATGATTTGAGTGTGTATGACAACTAGGTACACACTGTTAATTTCCGTTACGTGGATACTTGTGCACAGAGTCAGTCAGTGTTCGACAAACCATTGCACTATGCAAAGAATTTGGTTAGCAAATCACATTGTAAACTTGTCAGTATGGCTTATTTTCACGTAAAATAACTGCGCACTCTTCATCAAATGGCGTAATGGTCACTACCTGTGCCATGGACAGTTGTCATAATCTTGACAACCCAGCAGTGGGTGTTGGCTCCGCATTTTCCTTTAAGTTTTTGCCCTCCTTCATAGCTTTGAAGGCTATGAAGGAATACGGTCTTTGCCTACTGCGATGGTGACAATGACTACCTTACCCCTACTGGCCGGGCTACGAGAGAGCCCTATGGCTACAGACCAGTAAGGCGAGCCCTCAAATTAGAATCCCTCCCCGGACCGTTCGGGGTTGAGCCCGGCCAGGATGTTGAAGGGATTGGGACCTTGCATGGAACCGATCGGCCTGGATTAACTCCACCAGGCTTCTGCACCATGGCTCTGGCTCATCACAAAGGAACCAATTTGTGACGCGCTAATCCTCCAGTAGGCAACAATGACTGTGATGAGCTTCAAAGAAGTTGCCGCTGGTAATCCCAGCTGGCCGAATAATCCTCCAACAATGGCTAGACTTCAATTTATGTTGCCTATTGTGAAACCCTGAATCACCAGTTTGGACCGATTGGGGCGTCACGCTTCAGTGACCGGGTGGCTTCTGGCTTCATACCGATTGGGGTGAAAGAAATTAGCATACCGGACCCGGTACCTGAACGGTCTGTTATCTGATGGCTCGCCTAAATAAACTTCCATAGACCCCAATGGTAAATGCTCCCACTTCAGAAATTCGGGAAAAATACTCACAACTCTCCAAGGTGTTCGGGACACACATCAAATTAAAGCTTATTTCATCATCTTTCATTTTGTTCAATTTTTTGGGGATCAACTGATGACTTTTAGGAGAAATTTCCATCCGAAGATGATCACCCCTGAAAATAGTCCTGAAGCCCATCGCCATTTTGAAAAACGATGCCTTACTCCATTGCAAAATAAAGCGCTTTAAAGGCCCCAATTTCATCCAAATTGAACGGAACTACAAGCTCACAGTCCTGTGCACGGCTTCCACTCATATTTTTTACAAACCCTCAAGTTCATGGCCCACAGCATGCTCAAATGCTGAAGATTTTGAGGGCATGCAAATCGTGATTTGGTCGGCGTAGGCAATTTCGGACAGATTTACTGGTCTGCAACCCTATTGTTGTTTTCCGTATGTGAGCTGACAGGTGAGGGTGTCACATATTTTAATGACTGACGTAATATGTACCCATGAAATGAATTGAACTGCTGCAAACTGCTCACTGACTGAATTGACCTGAAATATACAAATCTACAAATTAGAGTGCCCTGATATTTCATTCTCATCAACGACTTCTTCACAGGCAAGTGACGTCAAGATTTCCATTTGTTTTTCCACTAGATGCTTGAATGTCCTACTTGAGAGAAACTGTAACCCCTGTACCCCAGACGCCCTAGGCTGGTACCCACTCCACTGGGCAGCAGCTAACGGTCATGCAGACTGCGTCAGAATCCTTATTGACTGTGGAGCACCTAGAGACTGTCTCACAAAGGTACCGGTAATGCTTTCAACGTTTGAGGAAAAGTCACGGCTGTGCTAAGCACATGAGTTTGCATAGCAGAGAAAAAAAATCATCTTAGCTGAAATGGGTTACTAGCTAATATCTCATGCCATTTACATTGAATGTGACTGGCTCTCTTGCTATTTTTACGATATTTGCTAAGTAGACTTGAATTTAAGTCAGTACTTGGCCAGGTTTAGTTCGTCCGCCGCGCTCCGTGCTGCAGTATACATGTATGGGCAGATACCGCATCTCACGGTTCACTTGCAACATGCTACATGTTGTTCAAATCAAATAATTTGAGTCGATGTACACGCATATTCAGGTCTAGGATGAACAAGTTAGCATAACCGTCCCCACGGGCTACATGCGTGCGGGGACGGTTGTGCTAACTTGTTCGTCCTGGACCTGAATATGCGTGTACGTCGACTCAAATTATTCGATTTGAGCAACTTGTTCTCGGCTTTGTACTCAACCTATGGGATTTGCCAGTATGATTGACTATCTGTCCAAAATCATGTCAGTCAAGTCGCTAGACTCGTCAAACCCAGCATGTGATTATAAACATAAAACATGCACACAGGGGCACGTGACGCCAACAGAGAAAACTCTGTTGTCTAGTGACTTGTCATCAAGTCCAAGTCGCATCTACATTTGGGGTCCTGTCTTCAATAAATTCTTTTGAAAAGTTTCAAACAAAGATGCTGTTTTGTCAGTCCATGCTTGATTGTACAGGGTTTCTTCAAAAGTCTGTAAAATATTCTTCCCAAGTCCAAACTTGAAAACGACTCAATTGTCACCTCTAAGAGATTCATTGAAGTGTCTTGCGGCTGTACAGTAATCGTTTTGTTGTAAGTGTCTGTGGCTCCTGGCCTTCAATAAATTATTTGTAAAAAGTGTCTGAGGGGTAGACTTAGGATTTCAGCTCAAGTCTTTCACAACGGGATTGTAACCCCATATGACAAGATATTTGCCGTTCCGTTACTTGTGGAATTGATTTCCGATATAATACAGGGTGGATGGAGCCCTTTGCACTGTGCCGCCAAATACAACCGAACCAGATGCCTGCAAATCCTACTCTACCACCCCCATCCCACCGCTGACACCGAAACCCAACCAGACAACAGCCAATCAGCTGCTAGGGTTGTATCATGTGACCTACTCAACATGGCAGACCAGGAGGGATGGACTGCCGCCCACGTGGCGGCGTCCACGGGACAAAAAGTAGGTTTGGAAAATAAAACACTGTATTTGCTGGATGCCTTTTCCATGATGTAAATAAGGGGAAATTACTTCCAAATCAGCCAATCAGAATAAGTCACAGTGGTAATCAGGTCAGTCACAAGTCACCGTTAGTCAATCATAGTCCCAAGTCAACTCACAATCTAATCAAATGATCTGTGACAAAGGCATTGCTTTGTCATTATTCATCTCCTGTTACTTCTGACCTGACTAGTGAATTGACTTGTGATTGACTTGGAATTGATTTGTGATTGACTTTAATATTGACTTGTGATTGACTTGTGATTAATTTGTGATGGACTTGTGATTGACTTGTGATGGACTTGTGATGGACTTTTGATTGACTTTTGATTTGACTTGTGGTTTACTTGTGATTGACTTTTGATTGACTTTTGATTGACTTTTGATTGACTTGTGGTTTACTTGTGATTGACTTGTGATTGACTTGTGATTGACTTGTGATTGCCTTGTGATTGAATTGTGATGGACTTGTGATGGACTTTTGATTGACTTTTGATTGACTTGTGGTTTACTTGTGATTGACTTGTGATTGACTGGTGATGGACTTTTGATTGACTTGTGATTGACTTGTGATTGACTTGTGATGGACTTTTGATTGACTTGTGATGGACTTTTGATTGACTTTTGATTGACTTGTGATTGACTTGTGATTGACTGGTGATTGACTTGTGATTGACTTTAATATTGACTTGTGATTGGCTTGTGATTGATTTGTGATGGACTTTTGATTGACTTTTGCTTGACTTGTGATGGACTTGTGATGGACTTGTGATTGACTTGTGATGGACTTGTGATGGACTTGTGATGGACTTGTGATGGACTTGTGATGGACTCAATTACAACTCTGGAATAAGCAGCAGGAACCTGAATCTATCTGTTTTAAGTTATGCATCATTGGTGTAGTCCAATGTTTTTCATGATTTTGCGTGTTTGACCTCTAGTAGTGTCGACAGGAGAGGTAATACATGGGCACATTTGATATGTCAAAGACTTTTGTGGTGTTGTAACATAAATGATGCTAAAGGGAAAAAAAGTCTTGCTTCTCAAACCTAAACTCCCCTGAATCCTCAAAAATCCTCCAGTGTGCAATAAGCAAATGGCACAAACTTTGCACGTCATCTTTTAAGTTTCATCAACTCCCATGTAGAGAAATAGTGCATGGGCTTCCCCTCCCTCAATCCTCCTGCAAATCCCTCTGAAACCTCCCAATGGATTTCCATTTCCCAAATTAAAATCTGATTAGAAATGGCCAGTTTACACTAGCAAATTTAAATGTTACTTGTCGAAGGTTGAGACTTTTTGCATGAGTTCTGCACCTGCACCTCTTTGTCAGAAGTCGTGGTTCGAATCCAGCCCAGACAAGCAAGTCAAGTCTTATGTCTAGGCTTTTAGAAAGTTCGGAGTTTCCATTCCTTTGGAAGGGAAAAAAAACATGTTTTTATTTTTTAATTTGTATTGGGTTCATTTCAGGAATGTCTTGAGGCGCTGTGTGACTACGGCGACCTGAACCTTGACGCCCGAGACAAATGGCGGAGAACTCCGAGTGATGTTGCCGTCGACGCTTGCAAAGAGTTCCTCTCAAGTCTAGGTATTGATTCTTGTCTAGGGTTGCCTCTCTTACCAGCAAATCTTTTTGCGTCAGTAAATATTTAGAATACTCGGTCTACAGTTTCTTGTAAAGCTCGTCGTCAAAACTCAATAAACGTAAATTATATCCCATGTTTGGGGTTTGATTGCTCTAGCACTAGTGGTGTGCATTTACGGGTAGTACGAGAACCGAGTACCCTATTTGAAGTAAAACACAGGTACCCGGGTACCCGTAAAAGAAGCCAATCCCTTAAATTTAAGGGCTCTTTAGCTTTAATTACGGTGTAAACTGCAACTTTCGCGAGCGTCATTTGTCGTGCGTCAAATGCACATAAACATGAAATCTGTTTTGGTATTCCATGTATACCAGTTCTCATTTTGAAAATTCCCCACGAATGGCATTCTGAGCCTTTCTTTTTCATTTTCTGGGAATTTACTAAGTAATTTGTAAAGTTTATCACGGGTGCCCGATTCCAAAATTTGGAACCCGTCCCTGACATCGTTTGGGTACTCGGATACTCAGTTCAGATACATTCCCCTATCTAGAACCAACAATTAAAGGCACGTAGGAACATGTGCAATCACCCGAAAACGCACTGACCAATTTTAAGAAAACCTTTGCTGAAAGTGGAGATAGGATTGGTACCAAATACCCTGTGAAATTATTCCGCCTGAACGGTATCATTCGGAAGAAAACAATAGTTTGAAGGTGGACTGCGAGCACAGTTTTTTAGGTGCGTTAACCGTTAGTCGTTATGAACCCTTCTAAAAATTTTGAGCAAAGTTGTTGCTTCATAGAGTACCGAAGTGCGCCGCGTATTCTGTTCCATGTGCACAGCTTAAGTGTGTGAAGACATCAGCACGTGAACCAGAGTGAACCAGAAGGGTGACTGCTGACATCACACTTCGGTACTCTATATGAATAAAAAAAATCACAAAGAAAAAAAGCTAAACTCATTCGTCGTTTTGGCATGGACGCTTCTGAATCCTCTGAAATCCACCACTGTATATGGGAAACTGACTTTATTTTCTCATAAATTTAATGTTCAAGGTCCATCAAGTCCTTTGGGGAAAAAAAGTGGCCAGGCTCCACCTTCCTCAAACCTACAAAACCCTTCAAATACCCCTGTGCTCTCTGATGTTTTTTTGTTGAGCTAAGTTGTTTGTCATGTTGGTAATTTTTTTATCCTTGTACAGAGGGGAAGAAAGTACGAGTTTCGATCGACCTCGGAGGAAACACCAGCAACATGCTCAGCAACCAGAGGGAAGAAAACAAGTGCTATGTCATAGGTCAGCTGACTGTACGACCCGGAATGACCTGGGTGACCTTTGACCGCTGTATGGCATCAGTTCTGTCCAATCACTCCCGGGTAATTATTTAAAAAAAATGTTTATTCAGATTTTTTTTCAAATTTTCAGAAGTGAATTCAGATGAAGCTATCTATTGTAGCATCAGTTGCGATAAGTATAAAGTTGAAGTCAATCCAGATCTTATATTTTATAATTTAACTATTTGGGTTGTTTTTTTTCTGTATTAAAATTTGTAGGATTTAGAAGGTTGCGCTCGGTTGAAATCGGACACTGATAATGAGAGTGAAGAAGGCTCTGATTCCTGCCTGGATCTGGGGCTGAGTGCCAACAGCATCAAGTCATATGTGGCAGGTACGTTCAGTCCCCGACGTGTCAGGCAATTTGAACCCAAATTTTCTGCATTTGTAAAAAAGAATAAAAAAATCATTTATGGATTCCTCCCCCCCCCCCCCCCGGCACTAAGGTGCAACTAAGGTGAGACTCGGTGACTGAGTGTCAGTGTAATGTGGTTGCTATGTAGAAACCATCACATTGCAAAATGTATGCACTCAGGATGGAATTAAAAAACCATCAAAAACAAAATCAGTACAGAAATTTTTTTTTTTTTGGGAGAAATACTGTCATGCACTGCATTTCAGGGGTTTCTGGCCACTCTGGAAAAAGGGTTACCATTTTTCCAAATGGGGAAAGCATAGAGAATTTAGGGGGGGGATTCTGGGAGAACTCGGGGGGGGGGGGGGGGATTGACAGTGACCCAGAAGAGAAAGGTTTTCGCTAGTTTGGCGCATGTGTCTCTTGTGCTATGAGGGGAGAAGGGAGGCCATCGCTTGTCAGCAACAAGTTGCCTGTTTGTTATCAGTTTCGTAGTTATCAGTTTCGTACTGCAACCCACCTCTTGACTTCCCAGCAACCTAATAAAAGTGAAATATTTCTCTTGGTATTTTCAAAATTTCTCAGGGAAACAGGAAAAACTCTGGGAATTTTGCAAGCTCTCGCCAGTTGCTCCTGATAGTGCATAGTTTCCTAAAATTCCATAGCAGATATTGCCCTTTAACAGTATAAGTATTGCTAGTCAGATTTTTTTTTTTTTCCAGCAGAGAATCATAGAATTACTTCCTTATTTTGTGTAGGTAACTTGCAGTGGTCACCGGGTGAGGGTCCACAGACCATGCAGCCTTATGAGATGTTTGGCTTGACCCCTGAGGTCACGGTCCATCTCTGTGGTATTGACGTCGGACGACTGGACCAGATTGCCTACGAGACGCTCATCCCGACGACCATCCTGCAAAATTATGTCCGATTGGTAAGGGCAGTGAACACCAAACTTTTTAAATGAATTTCTTCAAAGTTAAATAATGACATTGACTGGAGAAGGGTTTGAACCTGTGACCTCCGGATTGCCGTTCCGGTGCTTTACCAACGGAGCTGTCCAGCCCTAGGTTGGCAGTTTCCCCAATTTGCTAATGTACATCCTTGTTCAAGGGGCGCTAGTCAGAAGCCATCAACCTGTGTATGCCAATGCTGCAAACCCAGACAGTATTGAATCACTATTACAGTGTCATTAAACAGAGTTATTTCTGGTACAAATTATAATTTGCCACAAATAGGGACAAGTCGAGTCACAAAAACTTGTTTTAATAACCCTAACCCCTTAAGGGTTCCTCAGGACTACCCTGCTAAATCCAACAGAGTCCAATGGTTTCTTCCTGCTCAATCCCACACAATCCAATTGTGCCTAATTTTTAGTTGTCTGCTGGATCCAACAGAGTCCAACTTGGCGTTATTTATCAGTACCCAACAGAATCCGACTCTGAATATGTGTAAATTTGTACCAGGGGTTTACTGCTCAATCCAACAGGCTCCAACGGGTTTATGATGTAGTTGGATCCTGTTGGATTCAGCAGGGTTAGAGGGAGAACTGAATTGTAACTCCTGGGCTTGATTTCTAAAGACCCGCAAATCACGATTCTGATTCCAACGTAGGAATTAGTTAAATCCTATTCGATTCTGACCTGGCATTGCCCAAGCCTAGCAGGGAGCCAGTCGTGTTATTCATTGTTGGACTATGATGAGTGAAGAGTGTTAAATGTTTGTTTTGTTTTCCAGATTGAGCAGTACAAGAGTGTTGTATTCTATGGCCCATCTGGCACTGGCAAGACACTGTTAGTATCGCGGCTTGCAGAGTATGTCAAGGTAACGTCAAGATAATGTATGTCAAGATAAGCCCCAAAACTGACTTGCTCCACCCCCAACCTCTAAACAGCACGCAATCAACTTTCTCATGCTTTTCTCCACGTTAAATTGTGTAACATCAACATGTTTAAACCCACCTACATTGTACCTTTAATGTGATCTCAAAACAGAATAGAGCAGTATGCTCTTTGAATAAGTGCATCTGGATTGTATGTCAGAATATTACTGAAGGTTCTTTTTGACAAATCCAATAAGAAATTTGTGAGGATGTTACTCACAAATTAGTGACGTTTCACTGCTAGGCTAGCAGCTTCTTCAGACTGGCAACTAGTCTGAAGTTGATAATTTGCCAGTCTGAAGAAGCTGCTAGCTTAGCAGTGAAACGTCACTAATTTGTGAGTAACATCTTCACAAATTTCTTATTGGATTTGTCAAAAAGAACCTTCAGTAATATTAGAGCAGTACGCTTTTCTCTGTTTAAAGTCTGCATCAGCTGTCCACTAAATCCAACATTTGTCAGCAAAATGTGACATATTATGGCGGGACGTCTATAACGCTCTTAGCATTCTACAACCGTGTGAAAGCTTTAGCTTGATACTTTTGTTTTCTTCCAAAAGAACAAACAGCAGCAACTGAACGTCAAGAGCACGATCAACCACATCTCACTACATTCCAAGCTAACTCAGCAAGAACTCACCAAGTTACTATGCAACAATGGTAAGTAAAAATACCTCCTTAAATTCAACTTATTCATTATCTGGTTTTCCCAGATGTCTTTAAGTATAAATGTGAGACCAACAATGTGGAATATGTTTTAAAATGACAACTCACCAGTTGTCTAAATGTCACAATTTGAAAGAGATTTTAACATGTTCATTTCACTTGTTTGTTTTATGCTTTAAGGCCAGTTGAAGCTGTGGAAACCCTTAAAATAGTGAAATATGCCTAACTTGAAATATGCTCAACTTGTGCTACATTGTAATTTGCGTCGCAAAGAAGTTGTTGTGACATCACAAGATTGCATACATATTTGCCTTCACGTCAAATTATTTGGTCTGTAAACTGCACAGAAGTAGTCCCATCAAATATTTTATCATTTTTTTTCATCATGCATCATTGACTGATTTGTTTTTTACATGCATCACTGATGATTTAACCTTAGAATGGATAAAATATTTTTTATTGTTGTGTATTCTGTGTTTCAGGTGTTTTTATCCAAACCTCTGACATCGCAACACCCAAAGCAATACCAATCCTAGTACTAGACAACCTGGACAAGTCCACTCTGCCGGGGTGTTGTCAGACCTGCTGAAGGGACTAGAGCATAGAGGCTCACAGCAACCCATCGCACTGTCACCCCTGCAAGGGAGTGGGCAATTCCACCTTCATCCTGAGTGTATCGTGATTGGCACCATGGACAAAAGCAGGTATAAAACCCATCCTGTATGGAATTAATTGCCTTAGATGGAATCAAACATTTGTGGCGTGGAATGTCACTTTGCCAAAACCAGGAAGAATTGGGCAAAGCTACGAATGATTTTCAGCAATTTTGAGATGTTTTGAAAATTGTGATGCTACTCCAGTTTAAAATGTTCTGTGAGAGTTTCAAACAGATATTTCATCGTCAAAGTATTTGTGATGCGATCAAGCTAAATGAGTTGTTTGTCTGGAATTTTTATGTGGAGATACAGGCCAAAATAGGAACACTTCATCACATCACTTCATCACATCTCTTGGTGTTCCGACTTCCATAATTTTTTGAACTAAAGATGGTATCAGCATGCGGTTTTCACAGCAGTAATGCTGAGATTGTGCTTTTTTGAAATCTGTAATAAATTTTTTTTTGACCAGGGTTGACAAACGACTCATGTAGCTTGATCGCATCACATTTTTTTCACTCAACTTGAACTTTAAAGGCCTATTTCTAATTTTTTTTGACATTTTGGATAGACCGAATTCATAATTTAATTACTTTGCTTTGGAATATCCCATTTCAAAAGAAAAAGCTGCGTTTGAAAAGAGCAAGGTCTATATTTTAGCAATATTGCTATAACTCAAAATTGATTTATTGCCCAAATGTGCCTGATTTTGACATACCACATCACATCTAAGCTGTTCTTTATTACATTGTTTATGTACAGTTTACAGTTCGTCTGTTACAGTATGAAATTATTCATTATTTGAAATATTCATTATTTGTTCTATACAACACCTGAATAAATCCTGTCATTTGATTGGTCGGAGGCACCAGTAGTTTGACCACGAAATGGAACTTCTATTTACTGCGGAATAGATCTTCTGTTTTGGCGGTACGGCTGCGTCGTTGGTTGGGACGAATAATTCAATGACATTTGATCAATGACCCACCAATCAGATGACAGGGATTTATTCAGACGTTGTACAATGGTCACCATTAGTAAACTAAAAAATTGAATGCATTTTGCCATTTTCTACAGGCTGTCTGTACCTACATTTATTTAAATTGTACATTAATTGTAAGTTGTAGTAGTTACATGTTCAATTTGATTATTTTTCAAAATGCTCGAGAGATCTCAAAATGTCTTTTGATAATGATTCTTAACCCTAACCGCCCTGAATCCTCCAAAATCCTTTTTGCAAATTGGAGGAATTTGCAGGATTGAGGTTACATGGCAAATTTGCGTTGCTGATTTCGGAGTACGCACTGTGTCAAGGTCTTGGGCCGGACCTTGTGTTGTTTATGCTCAGCCGTGCATTAATTTAGTCCTTGATTATACTTGACATCCTCCGCACTGCTCCAGGATGTCACTGCCTCTGCCTCAGCCTATTGACAGTCATAGCCGGAGGATTTTGCAGGATTCAGGCAGTGGTCACCCCTCCATTTACCATATTCAAGAAATAACGGAGGAATTTGCAGGATTGAGGCTATATGCTATTTTTCCATGAGGCCAATTGGAGGATTTTGCAGGATTGAGGCTACATCCTAGCAAACAGGCCTAGGGAGTTAGGGTTAAAATATATGTCGTGACAAGTCTATCCTGTGGTCATTCATGAATTTTTGCATCAGATGAACATTTTTCAACCTACTAAGTAACATGCATAATGCCATTGTATTTTAACCACTTTTGGTTATTTCCCCCTTTTTTTATTCTTCCTATGTACAGCTCCGGCTTGGATCTATCCACCCAGCACTGTTTCCGTTGGGTCCACCTCCACCACGACAGGGAACCGGTGGCCAGCACCTTACCCCGCTACCTACTACGACGTCTCATCAGCCGTGCCGGCGGCCGGCTCCCCGCAGCCGAGGACCCGGCCTACCGGGCCATGGAGTGGATCTGCAACGTCTGGCAGCGACTCAACGACTGTTTCCTGCGGCTCAAGCTCAAGCACACTGTGCTGGGCCCTAGGCACTTTCGGGCGTGCCCTGTGGACTCAGAAGGGCCCAACTCGGTATTCAGGTAAGGGTGGTGGATTGTTCAGTTAAAAATCTTGGTGAACTTCTGTTAAAAACGCAAACGTGTTTATTTGGGTGCTAGGGCTTGATAGCCTTTTAAAGTTCGGGAAAAAAGAATGTACCAAGGGGGGTTGCTACAGTTGGGATGGATTCGGGGGACAAATACCTGGAAATTAACCTTAATTTGTGTCATTATGTGGTATTTTTTTCTCAGATGGTTTTGCTTGTCTTGGAACCACGCCATCGCACCGCAGATCGAGGACACGCTCCGCAGAAAGAACTCTGCCAACTCGCACAACTACCAGCGTCTGGTCAGCACTACGCTCTACGTCTTGCTGCAGAGGGCCGTCTTCCCTGGGTGTCCCTTCATGGGGGAAGGTAAGACCCTCGAAGTTCACAGAGCCCCCTCGACAGAGACTGTGCCTCTTTTGGGCAATCCTTCGGGAGCTCTTGGGTTCTTTATGTTTTCTGTAGTTGTCTTTTAATTTGTATGTGTTGGTTTTTACTGTTTATTCCGAGAAATAAAGTAAACGTAAAGGGTTATGGCTTCTTTGGACACAATTTTGTATCAGCAAAATAGTCAATAAAATTTAAGAATCCATATTATCATCATGGAAAATACACCATCTTGGGGGGGGGAAGCACCCATCTCTTTCATTTACAAAAAAAAAGGCCAGACGAGAAACTACTTTATTTTTTTTTACTCGACCTTATGATAAGCAAGTCAAACAAAACAAAACATAACGTAGCGGAGAACCTGTGCCATGCAGTGTACATTGCATGGTATTTTGGCCGGTAACCGATTTTGCGCTAAGCAATTTTTTCCTGTGCTTAGTAGTTCCATAACTTTGTGCCCCTGATCCGATTCCAGTGTGTGCAGCGTGAGGGTATGTCGTAGGGATTTGTTGTGTGAAGTGACACACAGAGTTTTGGAGCTGAGAAGAACCAGACTTGTGTTGGGCTCAATTACAACACTTCTTGATTATTTATTTCATTTTTGGTGAAAGAAATTTTGGAAATATTACTAACTTTTCACAAATACGCTGTAATATTTAATAGCTAAAGTTATTTACATCACGGCAAATGGTACCTTAAGGGAGCCTTCCCATAGGATTGTGCACAAAATGTTTCCAACTTAAAAGACCCCTAACCCTACTTTTCCCTTTTCCTGCCCCCACAAATTTTGGTATATTTATGTTTTGGACCACGAGCAGTCGTTCTAGCCTATATGGATATTAATATTTTGCATCTAAATCGTGTGTAAATAGGAGTTGTGGCATTAGGGAGAAATTGAAATGTCAAAAAATGTCTCCTTATATAGTTAAAGGGTTCATTAACAGGAATTACGTAGGCTTTAGATTATGAATTTGTATAAAAATTGATGTGCCCGGCTGAACAAATATACATTGGAGGTCGTTAATTTTTCTTAATACCTGAACACATTACCATCTGTTTTTTCATTGTTTTAGAAGCAGATGATTACATGTCCAGTTTCCGGGGAGTCAACGAACTCTTAGCTCAGCTGTCCTCACAAAAAACTAACAGTCTCAAACGCTCACCACGGCGGAGTAAAAGTCTCGATCGCAGTAAGACAAGCAACAAAGCGGCGTTGATGGCAAGCAAACAGCAGTCTGCTTTGGATCTAGATGGTCATCATTCAGGTAGGAGGCTGTTTCATGTTTGGCTACATTTGATTTAAATGCCATTTGTGCAGGCAGCCTTTTTTGGGGTTTAAAATATCGCTTCAGCAAATGGCAGTATACTTTGGTTCTGGATGGACAACATGCAGGTAGGAGGCTATTTTGTGTGTGGCTGTTTGGGATTTAAAATAAGTTGGACAATGTACAGGCAGTTGCTTGTTTGTAACATCTACCTTCAGCAAACAGCAGTCTGCTTTACATCTGAACAATCAACACATTGCTAGGAAACTGTTTGTGTTCGACTACGAATTGAAAGTTAGTTATGCCGGTAATTCCCTGTTTAGAACATCTAGGTTCAGCAAACGGCGATCTGCTTCGGTTCTAGATTAGCAACATATGCATAGGCTGTTTTTTTCTGAAGTTATACAAGTGTTCCAATTTTCACTATTATTAAGCAAGGACAGCTATGTTTGCTCCGTTTTATGATAATCTATTCAGCAAAGAGCCATTTGTGCCCAAATAAGTTCATCCAAGTAAGATTGTCTTACGTTTTTTTAGTTACACAAACTAATGCATTATGAGGCTATCGCTAATTGTTACATTAAATATGCAGTAGAATACAGTTGAACCATTACATTTATAGCAAGCATAAATAATTATATATTTTTTAGTGCCAGTATCATCAAATGCGTAGTGTGAAAATGTTATTACATGTATTTGTACAATCACATCAGCTTTTGATTGAAACACAAATACGACATACCAAAATCTGGCTTTTTGTAACTAAACACACACAACTTCAGAATCTTTACTTGAAGCAACTGTGCTCAAAAGTGAATAAGCAGGGGTTGCCCTTAACTTTTTTTTTGACTGGCCAGCCGGACCAGTTGGCTAGAATTTTGACTGGTCCGCCAGGTTTTTGACTGGTCCGTCTTATAGTACAGCGTGTACCCACCAGTTAATCAGTTGCACATAAGTCATAATTAGACTATAGTCAACACCCATGTCATCATGTCACCTGAGCAATAGAGGTCTATTTTCTTCCTCCATGATCTGAGGCCGCAAATAAAAAATATAGTTCTGCCTCAGATTACATGCCTTTTAAAAATAGGGTCGGTCGGTCGGAATTTTTGGGGTTTTTTGGCCAATTTTTTTTATGCAGATTGAATGGGGTATTCAATTAGGCCTCAATATGCGAAGTTTTAGCCTGATTTATTTTCATTGCACTACGAAAGCCATACACAAAATGATGGCCACAAAAAGTGAATAAAACCTACCTTAATTAGGCCAAAAAAAATAGTTCTGCTTCCGATTACATGCCTTTCAAAACTAGGGTCGGTCGGTCGGAAATTCTTTTTTTTTTTTTTCCAATTTTTTTATGCAGATTGAATGGGGTATTCAGTTTTAATAATGCGAAGTTATAGCCTGATTTCCATTGCACTACGAAAGCTATACACAAAATGGCAACAAAAAGTGAATAAAACCTACCTTTAATTATTGTCAATATATTTACGTTCGATAATTTCAAAAAATAATGGAAAATTCAGGTCGTTCGCACCATATGCACAACGCTAGTCAAAACGCAGGGAGCTGGCCAAAACTCCGAGGTGTGTGATGTGTGCGTGTGTGGCGAGCGGCCCACCATGGGCCGACAGACCCGTTTTTACGGTCAAAACTTTCAAGAAACACACGGCACAAATACGAGTAGTGCGATCTCAAAATGAACTCTTGAACACAGAAAATACATACATAGACAAGCTAGATCAATTCTGTAAATTAACTTGCAAAAGTGTTCTTTCTCCATTGGTGTTTTCTTGGCATTTTTACGATGTCGAATCCGACCAGTTGACAGAGCACGTGCCTGCACAATGCCTAGCCGGGCTAGCGCTATCGATCGCATAGCCATGCACAGACTAGTTACCACATTTTCATCATGTCTTCTAAATTGGCGCGGCGGGAACCAGTCATCGCTGCATTGAGCTGGGTTTACGCGCATGATTATAGTCACCGTGACATCGAGTTGCGAAGTAGTCATATCGCGAAGCGAATTTGTAAAAATAACGGAGGTTTCTTTTGAAAAAAAAATAGCGAATGTAAGTAAGAAACCAAATAAATACAACAAGCATTTTTTTGACACAGATTTTTTCAGCTGGCCAGCCGGACCACTTGGCAAGGTGTTTCAGCTGGTCCGCCGGCAATTCAACTGGCATTTGGCCAGCGGACCACCGCTAAGGTCGAACCCTAGCATAAGGGATTAAATATATGCTTGGCCACTTTAAAATAAGTATGTTTAGAATCAGCTAGGGGCCTGGACGCAGAAAATGGCCCAAACCGAAGGCAGCAGCAACAACAATGTTACGGACGATTGAAATTACGTATTAATGGAAATCGCTGACAATTGTATTGGCTCCCCCGCAGAACCCACAATTGCATGAAGAAGCTTGAGACTGTACATAACGATGCACTATTAAAACAGGTTTTGTTTTTTTACCACTGTTACAAGTAAAACTTTGGGCATTACGCACTCGTAACAGTTTCCTGGACCCATTGGTCACTGTTAGCGCCAAAAACTGCCCTGCCTATTATTCCCTATAGCGCCCGTATAAATACAATGTAATACAATGTAATACAATATACTGTACATGGAGAACGTGCTAATGGGTCAAAGTAACATTCTCCCTGGAGAAATAGAAGGTTCACAAAAACATTGTAGACGGAGACAGCGTTGACTTGCCGGCATCGATGCATGGACCGGCCTCAAAGCAATCTAAGTGATACAGGCAGCTGAACATAAACACTAGATGAAAGTGATAGTAATAAAAGTAATAGTGTGTTTCCTCTCTCATCAGTAAATACACTTCAGAGTCTGGTTTCAAACATTACAGTGTTGTCATCCCTGGCTGAGATTGCTGCTGTAGCATTTCTCTGGTCTGGTGCACTTCTTTTGAGAGGTGGGGTAGTTTGCTGCTGGGGTTGTTTTTTGCAGCAAAACACCTCTCTGAACGCTTCACGGTAAGCTGTGGTCATGGCAGCGTAGATCAAGGGATTAATAATTGCATTGATGTACTGAGGAATGAGATATATCCATTTGTAATCTCCTCCTGCCTCAGCTATTAAAGGATTAGGAATCTTAGCTAGGTTGCAGATCCATGAAGTGAGGCTGAAGATCTGAAACGGTGTCTGCATAAGAAGAACACCGCGCCATTAACAATCAGCATTTTCGCCACTTGGTTTCGGATTTGGATAGCGTTGGGGTCGTTACTGGCGATGCCATCTCTACCGCTGCGTTTGTGGAGTGTTTTTATGATCCGCAGGTACATGTAGATATTGGCTACCATTGAAATAAGCCAAGGAACAGCCAGTACTTGTTCAATGTAGTCGTTTGCCCATGGTGCTACGGGGGCACAGCTTGCCTTGCTTGAAGGGTAATTCTTGTATGTTTCACCGTCTGGCCAATTCAGACAAACAGTTCTTAGTCTTGCTTCCAGAGGTGTTGCTGTAATGGCAACCAGCAAGCCAGCCAGCCAACAGATTGCAATCATTCGGTAGGTTCGTCTTCGTCCACGGATTATGCGATGCTTAATGGGATAGCACAGGGTGAGATATCTCTCAAAAGACACCATAGTAACTTGTGCCGTGGATGCAAAATACCCTGTTTTAAGGACGATGAAAAAGCTAATGCACTGTGCAGAATTCACGAAAGGATCGTGATTCACAACGATAGAGGCAGTATGTCTCCAAATATTTAACACACAGGACAGACTCAAATAGAGAAGATCAGCTAGCGCCAAGTGTGCAAGGTATCTGAAAGTATCTGTTCTCAGTTTGGGAACACGGAACATGACCAAAAGGAAAGTTAAGTTACCGACGACACCAAGACACCAGATTATCGGCATGATAATGGTTATGATGACAGTGTCCGTTGGAGTATAAAACCTGTCAGAAACCTCCTCCTGACTGATATTGACAACATCTTGTTCACTGCACTCACCTGACGTTATACCGGCTCCCATGCTGGATATTTCTTTCACCACAGCTTCCTTGAAAGTTCAACATTCTTACAAAGCTCCAACCAATCCATCTGTAGTCCAGTACGTGCACAGTTCCAGAGAACCCTGAATTAAGTCAAGCTAGGAGGTTCCAAAGTTCCACAGATTGGTTCATGTGCAGAGCAAATGAAAAAATCTCACTGCTGGAGAGAGTGTTTGGTCATGATGTGTCTTTTCTCCCTGCCAACTGCCTGACTGAAATGATTGAACAGCTTTTCGGGTTATCGTTGGCTTTGTATTTACATGAAATACATTCGTTTTTTTTTATACCATTGTATGTTTGTTTGTTTTTGCCAAAATAAATAAATGAATTGAGGTCCGCACGCTCCACAGTTGTTAGCTAGCCTCTTGTTCTCAGATAGACGCGTGACATGATTCCTCTGTTGATTGGAAGGGATGATGGGGGTGTGTTTATTTTGTGTCTCGGGTATTTATGAATGATTAATGACATGCAATGTTGCCCACCTTTCATTTAATTTGCTTTTCCCATTCATGTACACGAATGTCATTTTCTGTAGATTCCAGTTTGAGAACATTAAAGTTGAACATTAACCCTACTCTGCAGACTTTAAGACATGCACACTCTGTGTATGTGGAGTTGTCCTTTCAGTCAAAATAAGTCAAGTGACTGTTTTTAAGAGCTCCCAGCCTACATATAGCAGGACTGACTACAGGTAACTGTTACTTTTTATGTCACTTGATACAGTGGTGACTGCTCTATGTTCCGACACCCCTATGTTCCGACAACCTAGATTGTGTTACTCCCGGTTAGGGTTAGGGTTAGGGTTAGGAATAGGAATATGTGCAGTTGGAACATAGGGGTGTCGGAACATAGAGGTGTAACCGATACAGTCCTTCTGATTTGAGGCGTGCGAACACCTAAAAGCTTCCTGAGAAGTGTGAATAACTGCACGCCTGAATTTCCCTGGACCACAGATCACAGACCTAGAAAATCACACATGTAGAAAAAAA